TTAAAATTCTATTAAATTCCCTANCTTTTTTAGGTTTTTTTTTAATAAGAAAATCGAAACAAATAATAAAATTTTAATGGTACTCTTATCTATAATATAGATTAGAACCTGTAAATAATCCAGAAGGAAACCAAGATGCTTAAATCCGTATAGTATATAAATGATCGAAGAAAAAGCCTGGAGTGAAACGTGGTATTGAATGCTACGATACATATCGATTGACTGTGAGAGATGAAAACTGTAGATCAATATAATCTCAGACATAAACAGTTACTTCAGGCATCGAACATGGATTTTATCAAGATATGTTTGCCACATTTCGTCAGCAATCTTTTAGGTAAGTTTTCTTTTTATAATACTATAACCGTACATTATAATTTATATATGAAAAGAGACAACTTCGATAAGTCCTGTTCATTGTCTTTCAGAGAAACTTTATAATTTAATATAAAAAAATTTACAAAATATATTAGGACAGTATAGAAAATTTTCGCAATAACTTACATATTGCTTTAGATATATAAAAATTTGTGATAAATTACAACTAAAAATATTACAAAGTTGCGACCGAAGTTAAAAAAAAAAAAAAAAAAAAAAATTTTTTTAAAAGTAAGATCATAAATAAAATTTAAAATTTAATGAAGAAAAATAAATTAAATTCTGATTTTAATGTAATAATTAAATTTTGTATTATGTTTCAAACGAAATTATCTAACCACGCAAATTTTATTCTTTTAAATTCGTACTTTTTGTGAAATATATAAATGATTAAAATAGCATCAATAATTTATTTAGGCCAATCTCTTTAGAAATTTTATACAATTAAATTATTGAATATTTAAAATATCATAACGGACTAAAGTAATTCTGATTTAAAACTTAAATATTTAAGTTTTTATGCGATATTTATAACGTAATGTTTAAATTCGATAATATATACCTTATTGTTTTTAGTTTTTGTTGTTTCTTGAAACCTGTTTATATTAAAGTTAATGTTTATTCTACCAAACCCATTAATCAAGATTTAAAAAAAAACTACAATTCATTCTGTAGATGAACATAAATATGCTTTATACTATTGATATGTCGAATTTTAAATTAGTCTTTTGTTTATTTTTATGTTTTTTCAAAGCAATTCCGAGAAGCTATTTTCTGCTAATTGGTTCTACTTAAAGCTTATATATATATATTTAAAAACATAAATGAATTTATCCGCACACAATCTGTGTATAATTGTTTGAAATGTTAAGAAATTTTTCCAAAATAAAAAGTTGTACAATGACTATAAGAAATCTTTTCTGGATAAATCACTTATCTGTAATATTTATTAACCTATGACTGTAATATTAATGAAAATATAAAAAAAGACTAGAAAGAAAATTGAGGCATAAAATAAACTTTAAATATCCCTTAAGTTCTTTTATATATAATGGATTATTTTATTCTATTAGTATTATAATAATATAAAACATTTGCTAGTTATCAAATGACTAATGTTCCAATGTTTTTAAAAGTTTTGATTTAGTGAAGCTTTAATTTGGATATGATCTTAATTGGGTTATTATAATTGTAGCACTGAATGGTATGTAAGTATTAACTAAAAGATGCAGCATATTTAGAATATTCTTAGAGCAACTGGATGTGAGACAGATATAAAAAGCACACCTTATTGACTTCCAGCAGTAGGTTTAATACAATAAAAACATTTTCAATCCTTTCATAGGTCTTCCTCAGTTAGAATCTGCAGAAATGGAACAAAACAAATGGACAAACAACATCACTAAAACCTGATACATTCTAAAACTATAAGCCAACCAATGCTGTATGTCATCAGGCTAGATAATGGCTNTATAATTATGTATTGATGAGTTTAAAAACTAATAAAAGATTTAGTTTAAAATAAAAATATAAATATTAAAAATTACAAGGATATCATTATAAAATTGTCTTATATTTAAAAACATAAATGTACTTACGCGCACACAATCTGTGTATAATTGTTTGAAATGTTAAGAAATTTTTCCAAAATAAAAAGTTGTACAATGACTATAAGAAATCTTTTCTGGATAAATCACTTATCTGTAATATTTATTAACCTATGACTGTAATATTAATGAAAATATAAAAAAAGACTAGAAAGAAAATTGAGGCATAAAATAAACTTTAAATATCCCTTAAGTTCTTTTATATATAATGGATTATTTTATTCTATTAGTATTATAATAATATAAAACATTTGCTAGTTATCAAATGACTAATGTTCCAATGTTTTTAAAAGTTTTGATTTAGTGAAGCTTTAATTTGGATATGATCTTAATTGGGTTATTATAATTGTAGCACTCAATGGTATGTAAGTATTAACTAAAAGATGCAGCATATTTAGAATATTCTTAGAGCAACTGGATATGAGACAGATATAAAAAGCACACCTTATTGACTTCCAGCAGTAGGTTTAATACAATAAAAACATTTTCAATCCTTTCATAGGTCTTCCTCAGTTAGAATCTGCAGAAATGGAACAAAACAAATGGACAAACAACATCACTAAAACCTGATACATTCTAAAACTATAAGCCAACCAATGCTGTATGTCATCAGGCTAGATAATGGCTATAATACTAATAATTTATGAAGCAGTTTGGTACTAGAGGGAGGCATTAGGTGTCATCTCTTAATAAATTTAATTATTATAATTTTTAATTAAATAATTTAAATAATTTAGAACTATTGGAAGAAAAGAATTGGCCCACAGCAGGACTCAGACCTGCAACTCCTGCTTACTGTGCAGATGCGTTGCCAATTATGCTACCTGGACCTCCAGTCCAATCTCGTCTTCCAGTATATATAACATTACATTATAACCGTCGACAGTTGTTATGTAATTAATTATTAAATTTATTAAGAGATGGTGCCTAACGCCAATTTCTAGTACCAAATTGTTTCATAATTTATTAGTATTATAGCTGTTATCTAGCCCAATGACGTACAACATTGGTTGGCTTGTAGTTTTAAAACAAATGGAATTTTAAAATTAAAAGAGAATAAAATACAAATTAGAAATTTGAGAATTCTAAATTTAAATGAACACAATATAAAATTTAAATATAAAAATAAATATTAGATAGATAAATAGTAAAATTTGCAAACTAAAAAAGAAAAAAATGGATGGAAACGATAGAAATATTTAAAGCTCATAGAAAACAAATGTGCATTAATTTTAAAAATGAGGACAATCTATCCACAGCATAGAATGTATTTTTGAAACTTGAACATTAATACTTATATTAGTTATGAATTTTTTGTTTTGTTTACAAATTTTACAATTTAAATAACAACATTCAAAGCCTGAATAGTATATATACTAAATTGCCAAACGATCGCCTAAATATCGGGCTATTATATGGCTAATTAAATGATTAGAATAAAGTAATTTGCATTTGCATTTTGCATTAAATTAATTTTAATTATTAATTTACTTAAGAGATGACGCCTAACGCCTACCTCTAATGACAAATTACTTAGTTCCAATCATTTAAAATAGCCATATTATAGCCCGATAAATTTGGCGATCGTTTGGTGTTGTTATTNCTAAATTGCCAAACGATCGCCTAAATATCGGGCTATTATATGGCTAATTAAATGATTAGAATAAAGTAATTTGCATTTGCATTTTGCATTAAATTAATTTTAATTATTAATTTACTTAAGAGATGGTGCCTAACGCCTACCTCTAATGACAAATTACTTTATTCTAATCATTTAATTAGCCATATAATAGCCCGATATTTAGGCGATCGTTTGGCAATTTAGTATTTTACAATTTATTTATCAAATACAGTGGAACCTGCTAATGTGACCACTGAATGGACCAGCTCATCTTACACAATTTTATACAGTAATTTCTTATATCAGAATTAATGGTTTTTCAGCAACTTAATTACAAATGCTTCATCAATGAGATACAAAGAAACAACTTCCACCAGTTGGTTTTCATAGGTCTTGCTCAGAATCTACAGAGATGGAACAAACTAACAAATGGAATACAAAACTAGCATTTTAAAATTAAAAGAGAACAAAAATACAAATTTGAAACTTCTAAATTTTAATGAGAACAATATAAAATTTAAATGTAAAAATGAATACAGTAAAACCTGCTAATTAACTACCTGTGTATTTTTTATTGTTTATCAAGATTATTTAGTAAAAAACATTAAAGATATATTTGTTTAATTAAAACTTTTCTATCAGGCAGAACAAGTACTATATTAATTATGTTAATTAGCAAAGTACAGTTGCTATATTAATTTATTGATGATAAATTATGTACTTGTAATATATTATTACAACTAATAATTTACTGTTTTGGAAATTTTAATTTTTTTTTTAAAGTTAGAAATAATTTTTTTCTTTGTGTTGTAAAATTAAATTATTTGAAATATTTGATATATCTAACATACATAGAAAACATGCAAAAAATGTTAATATAATAAAAGATATTTAAATTGATAAAAACAAAGATGAAAATTAAAAAATATATTTTTGAAGTATTTCTATATTTTGAACCTGAAGTTTACCAATAAATCCAGTGAAATATGCTTGCTATTTAATTACAATTAATTGTTGGATTAAAGATTGATATTTTTTGATTTATTCTAAATGAAATTTTTTATTTAAATGAATTTGATAAAATTATTAATGCAATAAAATTGAACCAGAAAATGTCATTTTACTCTCCCTATATCTAAATTAGATAATCCAACAAAATATTGTTAAGCAAATGATAGCAAGTGATCAATCATTATTTAATAACTACAAAATATATAGTGCTTAATATTTTCAACTTTATAATCACTTTTATTTATATAGTAATAAGCCTAATTTAAAGTCTTAATGTATAATTTATTGCTGTGTATGTTCATATTTTTAGTGTGCTTTTTATTTATTAGTATATATTTATTTATACAGTATATAATATATTTTCTCATAAAATTGTTTTTCAGGTTTGTTAGTCTCTCTTCTATTAGAATGATGAATCCCCAATATGGCCCTCCACCATCATCTCAGTATTCAACTTCTGGATTGCCATCGCATAACTCTGCTTATAGTCCTTTACAGTCTCAAAATGTATATAATGGACTAGATTCAAATTCTAATCCAGGTATGTTTAGCTGATGTTGTGTGATCATTATATTTGATATTTTCTGATCTTATGATTATTGTTGAAGATTAAATTAATTAATTATGTTATAATATTCAGAATCTTCATCTGAATTGCAATATCTGAATGGATTAAATAATTATTCATTTAGTTTTTTCATTTAGATGGCTGTAGTTGTTTTATTGTAAATCTTTATTATGGAATCTCTTTAAAAAGTGATATTGAAGTGTTTTCATTTGTAATTTTTAATATTAAAATGTGATGTTAAATTCTTAATTGTGACTTAATGATGTAAGTAATAAATAACATGACATTTATAATTTATTAATTTTAGGATACAAATTTCAATAAAAGCTGCAACTTTTGTCTTAATTAATCAAGTTGCAAATTTTAGTTAAACAATTTGAATCTATACTTCTATACTAATACTAGCTGTTACCTGCGGCTTTGCCCGTGAGGATTTTGCAAGCAAACCCCATTTATATTCAGTATTTCAACAACCATAGTAATTGTTATATAACACCTACCACTGAGAATGATGAGAATTGCCAAGAATTAAATGAACTGTTTTTAATTTGATCAATTTTCCGGAACGTTTACAATCGTTCTATAATCGAACCAATATGCAATAACAAATTCGAATTTAAAATGGTTCGAACATTTTAAAAATCGAAATAGATAAAAATATTTATAACAATGTCTGAAATGTTATCAATTTAATACACCTAAGTATTCAATGAAGACTAAAGAAGGAGTGATCATACAAAGAGGTGACTTTTAACACACCGTAGTTGAAAACGAAAAATTGCATCTAAAATAGTAGAGTAGAAGCCGTTCTTCCGGTTAAGTCTTAATCCTCTCCCTCTCCCCCCGCGGGGAAATTTCGAAAAATTCTTTCTTAGTATTAGCTTTTATGACGTATCCTAACTGTCTACCAAATTTCACCCCTCTAGGTTCAGCGGTTTGCTCTGGGCGATGATGAATCAGTCAGTCAGTCAGGACAAGCAATTTTATATATTTAGATTATAAAGAGGTAAAGTTTGTAAGTTTGGATGTAGGAGGTAATCTCCGAAACTACTCGTCTGATTTCAAAAATTTTTTTACCAATATTTAGAATGGACGTTCAGGGTGGACATAGGATGTATATTATTCCTTTAAACATTCATATAAATTAAAAGATATCATCTAGGTAAGCATTATATTTTTGGTGTCAGTGGGTGGTGAGGGGCAAGACACGTACATATACAAGATAGATAACCGCACGGTGCAGTCGCGTGGTCAGCGAGATACGCAATGCACGTCTGAACTTGTACAAAATAAAATAAAAATATATACAAAAGAAATATAAAAAATACAAAAAATGCTAAAAAAATTTTCCGTGACTTTCATGTACATGTTAAAAAAATTAACAATGAAAATTTATGTGATTTTTGAATAAAAATATTTTGGGAGAGTGATAAAAATTTGTATATTGATTTTTTACTGATTATACTGTTATAGTCACAAACTGAATTCCATGCGGGAAAAACCGCAGGCACAGCTAGTACAGAATAAAATTTAATAGAATGAAAATTTTAAAATAGAATATACAAATTAAAAAATAATTAAAGAAATTAACTATTGCAATTAAAACAGACAATTGAATGATTGCACTTAAAGTCAGACTTAACACTGGTGAATGGAATTTTATAACTCATAAACTTCTTGTTATAAGTTATAATATCTTGTATGAAAGTCTTTCAATGAAAAGTTTTATTAGTGATATAACTGCAAAAAAATAATATTTTTGCAAAAATATAATATTTCTGAATAATCCTTTTATATGTATGCTTAATCTTTTTTAAAATCTTTGTATATTTATGAATGAAATAATGCAACATTCTTAACAAGTTGTGATGTATAGTATTCAGAATAGCAGGTATTTGCTTTTGTTAATTGAAGTGTAGTAAATCCCAGAAAGCTGTTCAAACTCCAGCAGATTTTTCATTTATATTAAAATTCTATGTAAGAATGAACAAAATTAATAGGTGTTCTTATAAGAATCATTTAAATTAATTAATTAATTAACAATGATAATTAATTAGCATTTATATTCATCAATAGTATTTTTACCCATCTCTTGATATTCAGTTTAAGGAAAATAGAGAAATACAGAAGTTTTAAAAGTAAGCTATTAAATATTGAAATGTATATATAATATATAAAATATTGAATTGTGATGATCCCAAATTGATTTTAGCAATTGTAGCAATTGAGACTGGAATGAATGGAAACTTTTAGCAGCTCTATAGTTAGTATTATTATAACATTTTAACTTGTTGCTAAAGGTTTTCATTCATTCCAGTCTCAATTGCTTTCTTTAATCTCAGTGATCTCAGTTAAACTGGTTTGCCAGATTAGCCAGTTTAGCCAGTTTCATTCACCTGACCCAACAATATATTGGAACAGGATAGAAAATGATGATGAACCAGTTTCATTTTTTTTTTTTGTTTTTTTGTTCTAGTAAGAAGTAGATTATATTAAGTCCTGAAGTGTAACAGTTATAAATTTTTCATTTAATTTTCCATATTTTAAAAATGTACTTCTTTTTAAAAAAATGAATGTTTTTACATTTAATTGATGCAAAACAGAAAATATAACTTATTGCTCTATATAACTTATTATTCTATGCAACTTATAAGCACTTTGCTTATTTAGCATAGAATAATAACTTTGAATTTTAGATTATAATATCTTATATGCAGAATTTTTTCTGAATCAAACAAATATCAAAATTTATAAAATAATTGTTGTTGTCTTGAAGTATCTTTATAGTTGCTTCAAGAATTGTTCTCTTTGAAAGAAAAATTAATCTCTTTCTATTAGCATCCATTACTTTAACTTATCATGAATAAACATATACATATAATGTATGAAAAGACATACATATATAATAATGTTTTAGAGTAAATTTTTAAAACAGATTTATTTTAATGTGAAAATAATTTTTTTAAATAAATATTTAATCCTTTGTATACAAAAAAAAACAGATTTTTTTGTATACAAAGGATTAAATATATTTGATTATTTATTTTTGCTTTTTTTTTAGAAAAGATACAAAAAATAATTGTCACATATTGTGACAATTAGTATAGAGTGTACAGTACCTTAATGCATTGTTAATTCAAATTAATTTCATTATAGTAAAGCAATATATGATTATATTATATGGTGAAAATCAATTAATTAATAAAATAATTTGTTGTATTCTGTAATTTATAATACATTTAATTATTAAATGAATGGTTGGATTATCTGTTACATTAAGGAATTAAATAATTTGGCCAGAGGTAAGCAGTTAAAACTGCCATTTTGTGTTAAATTTAGTAATTGGAAATAATTTAATTTAGAATATTTTGGAAGAAAAGATTGGCCTGGAATGCGACTTTAATTCCCACAACTCCTACTTATCATGCAGATGAGTTGCCAGTTGTACTGTATGACCTTCTTACAGACCAATTAATTAATTTAATAAAACTATACTGGTCACTAACAACTCAATAATTAATTAAATTAATTATTGGGTTGTTCATATTTGTTATAATACAATATTTCGTTGTATCATTAGTGTAATTTTTGTAAATAATAATTCTTTTTATCCTATAATATTAAGAAAAGTGATCAAACAAGCAATCAGTCATTGTCCCAAAAAAATTGTGAAAATATTCATATTAATATTGCATATTATTTTATGCATTGATATAAAACTAATTTCTCAGTTAGTAGGAAAATGTTGACAGGCTTACAAATTAGATGCAGTAAAGTCTCACTTTTGTGGCTACTCTTGAAATTCCCCTGCTAAAATTTCATAAGTTTTAATGTAAATCAAACTCCATATAAGTGGTCAAAATGGGTGTGTTGTAAAGTGACGTTTATCCTCACTTATGTGACCAACAGAACAAGAAAACCGTGTTTCTAAATTCAATGAATTGTTTGAAGATCTTTAAATGAAATGGAGCTTTGTTGCTATGGTTTTGGAATACAGTAGAGCATCGATTATCCGACCCCCGTTTAACTGTCACATCGGTTAACTGACCGTTCTAGTCGGCAAATTTCAAATGTTCGCTAGTGATGTGGCATTACAATATTTGGCTATATCTTGGCTATTATTTTTGTTAAATACAGTATTTGCGTGTTTTAGCTGGCATCAATGGCTTGACCATTGAAGGGAGGCCAATATTTAAACGAGACTTAATTTTCTAATTATGAGTGGCTGTTTGTTTCGTGAGCAATAAAATAATTTTAAAATAATTTTTAATGATACAATAGCGACGATTATTATTTAAAAATAAATTTGTTAGGCTAAACATCGATGAAAATTCAACGCGAAGTTGGTTAATAGTGATATACTAATAAACTAATTACATGGGATATACTAATATCCTAATATACTATACAAATAATGTATTTTTTTCCTTCTTTTTGGTTATTCGGTTTTTCAGTTATCTGACCAACCTGAGTCCCCAATTGAGTCGGATAATCGATGCTCTACTGTAGTTTGCTGAGATCCCTCTGATTAATGACATTCAAATAAAATCAATTTTCATTCTTACACTCAGCAAATTAAATTTATCTCCAGAATTTAGTAAGAAAGAAAACAATTACATATTTCTTCAATGATTTTATACAAAATCTGATATATTATAAACATATAATTATGTAAATTGCAATGCTCAGTCTAAATCAGCAATGTCCAGCCATTGGGCTGCATGCGGCCCACTCAATGTTTTTGAGCAGCCCTTTGAAATAGTAATTATCTTGTATAGATTTTTATTACAATGAAATATCACATTTAATAATTTAAATACATTAATATGATGTATAACAGCTTATCACGTGCAATCAGAAATTAAAACAGTATTAAATATTTTTTAACAAAGCTTCAAATGTATTACATATAATATATATGTAGATACAATACATACTGTATATATATATATATGTATATATATGTATTTAAT